AAAATTAAGCCTTGAGGTGCATACATCCTGATGCTGTGAGTTGTACGATTAGTTGGTGGGAAGGTGCTGCGAGGACCCTGCATGCGACAGCCAGGCACCAGGCTCTTCCCTATGCAGAGCTGGAGCCCCTCAACACGTGCAGTCGGGCAGCCACGGCATATCTTATCATGTGTGCAGGCATTAAAGCCAGCCCCACAGGGGGCGAGAACTAGGAGCCACAGCTGCTCATCTCCAACACCCAGTTACCAGCACAGCAGGCATTTTTGCATACACAGTACGAGGGGTGTTTGGTTTTTTTTTTTTTTGGTTTTTCTCCGGTACTGGGAACCCAACTCACGACCTTGCGCTTGCCAGGCAGGCGCTTTTGCCGCTGAGCTAAATCCCCAGCCCCATGAGGGGTGTTTGGAAACGTAACATACGTTTGAGTTAACAATACAAAAGCTAATGACATCTTGCAGTGGTGATCAAGGGGAAAGGCAAGGGGTGCCAGCATGATTTAGGGACCAATGTGACAGATGGCAGAGAGGAAGAGGCCAAAGCAGAAGCTGGGCTCTACGTCTGGGAAACTGGGGAGCACATAATGCATTTGGTCTTAGATATGATTCTAAGGGTCTTGTGGGACATTCAGATGGCCAGAAGCAGCCAGAAACATCTGTAATGGTTTCATCTTGAAAGTCTGCCAAAAGTCTCATATACTTAGAGGTGGGGCCTCTGGAAGGCAACTGGATTTATTCACTTGAGTTCATAGCTGAAAGTGCTGTCAGGAGGTGGGGCCTCCTGGCAAGAGGCAGGTCACTGGGGGCACAGTCTGGGTGTATCTCCCTCGAGGCTCCTCTCTTTCCCCCCACGGCTTCTTGGTTGTCATGGGTTGAGCAGCTTTCTTCCACCAGCCCCTTGTACCATGCTTTTGCCTTGGAGCCAGCCGACCATGAACTCAAAATGTGAGCTGTCTCTCTCCTTTGAGCTGTGGGTGTCAGGTGTTTTGTCCCAGTGACAGGAAAGTGACTAAGACAACACAAGGGCAATGGTCTCACCCCTAAGACGGATCACCCCACCCCAGAGCTCTTGTAGGTTCCACTGAGGTCAACTGCACTGCAGTCTCACTTCTTACTCTGCTCAATTCTGCTTCCTTGACACACTACTTACTTCTGCAGCATCCACTAAGAAAGCTCTTGCACACCGCCTCCGAGCCTGCTGCCTGGGAGCTGCCCTGGTGCAGGTGCTGACAGGCCAAGGCTAACGGGGATGATGTCTAGCAGGCAAAAAGGTCTGATGCTGGAGGCCAACAGAGATGAATGGCCAGACTAAGAACCTCTGGGTGATTACCTGGCAGCTGGAAGACTGGTGAAAGCACAGAAACAGGAATTTCTACGTGTAGGGAGCACGCAGAGCAAAATGGAAGAATGGCGACTCATGTTTGAAAGGCGGGTAGAGAAAAGGAATCACTGAGAGACAGAGAAGCCTAGTCAATAAAAAAGAGGCACCAGAAAAGAGCACCATGCTCAAAGAGCAGGGCGATGATCTTAGGAAGAACAGGGTGGTCACAATGCCAAATCTGACAGATGAAAAAGAAAGTGAAGGGAAGAGAGGCCAATGACTCTTGACAATTACGAGCTCACTGGTGACTTCTGTCAGCATGAAGGACAGGGGATGAACAGGAAACAAGACAAAACCCTCCTGCCCAGATGACCCTGCAAGAACTCGACAGTGAACGAGAGACCGAGAGGCTGACAAGCTGGAACAGTCAAGGGCGAATGTGTTCGTCCAGACGGAGGGGACTCCAATATATTCTGAGTGGATGAATAAAAAGGCCATTGAGGGGAAACAGGACTGTCCACGGAAGTGCCCAGTGAAAAAGTATGCCACCAACCAGTTTTTAATAGAGGAAGATTCCAGAGAAGAGTAGCAAGGATGGGGTCAAGAACATACGTAGAAGCATTTCCTTCAGAGAAGTCAGAACACACCTCATTTGAAATAAAAGCAAAAGCAATGAAGTGAGACACAGCTGTCCTGTGCTGCCGAATAAGGAAGCCACCAGCCAAACATCTATAGCACGTTTTCTGAAGTGTGGCTATCTGAACTGAGGTGTGTTACAAGCAAAGCAGGTTTCAAAGACTTAGCTTTTTGTTTTTAAAGCAAAATATCTCAGTAATCCTTCTATACTGATATGTACAAATGGTATTCCTGATATACTGTGTTATATAAAGTATTTATTAACTTTACCTGATTTTTATTTTTTAAACGTTTACTTGAAAAATTTGAAGTACGTATTTAAAGGCTCACATTACACTTCTACTAGATAGTGTGACAGATGTACAGCAAGTGATACGGTTACTTACCGTGGGAATACAAATCTTGCTTAAGGGGTTTCCATCCAGAAGATAGGATCCATTAAATGTTACATATTCATCATAATACTGAGGCGCTTGAGGAATAACACTACACAGTAACTTGCGCTTTTCTTCAATTTTTTTCCTTATGTGCAAGTATTCAAAATATGGATTTGCCCTCTCTGAACTATATGGCTGAATCTCATCTAGCTTCAGAGAATCCACGATGGCTGCCAGAGATTGTTGGGTCTTCTCCTTTGCTTGTAGTAAAGAAGGATTCACCTGCACAGGCTGAGGTACCCGCGACACCTTCCTTTTCCGTGGATGGTGAATCTGAGGATCATCCTCCTCAGTTAACCTTATTCTTCCTCTAGGAGATGAGTCACTGTCCTTTTCTGGTAAGAGTGCACAGCTAGCAAGAATCTGTTTGTTTTGATTTGCCATTGTGTTTGCTTTGTTTCTAGTCATTCTTTGAGGGATTTGGTTTTCTGTTTTATCATCTTCAGCATTTTCTTCTAATTCTACTTTAACTAACTGACCATATTTATGCATTTCTGGTTGTGCTGAGTGCTGTGGGTGATTTTCCAGACTGGATAAAGTGCTTTGTTGAGATTCTTCATCTTCGATGGAAAGCAGACATTTTTCACTTTCTGGACGTTTTGGATTAGGTTCATTTAGGTTTCCCTTTGGCATGCCTGTGTTCATTTCACATAAATCAGACTCATACTTATTCAAATGAGCTGAAAACAAACTCTCCAGTTTGTTTTCTTTTTCATGTGAAATAACCTGAATATCAGCTGCACTACTCTCAACTTCATGGCTGCTGGAAGACTTGTAAGTGAGTTTGTTAAATGAATGTGTACTTAGCTGGGAGAGGCCATCACTTCCATTAAAATCCTTTTCTGACTGTAACACAGGCAACACAGTAGCCTTCTCAAAGTTTGGTGATGCTTCTTGAATAGTGTTTTCAGAATATAATGGGATAAAAGTATCTGCCTTTTGAACATCTGCTAGGACAAAAGTATTTTCCACGTCTTTTGTTGACTCATTATCGGTATCTGAAACAGAAGTGATCATTTGAACTACATCTTTCTGCTGTAAAATACCCAGCTCCTGAGCAGCAACATATGATAAAGACGTATGTTTAGAGACAGAATCAGCATCTGAAAGTGACTGGTTGGGGAAAGAGCAAGGCTGCTGTGAAGACAGAAAGGACACTGGATCCTGAACACAAGAGTTTCCTGCCAGTTCAGTCTGGTGCAGGGACAAAAATTCGGAATTCTGTTCTTTCAATATTTTATTTTCTGGATTACAAAAACCCTGAACAGAGAATTCTTGATCCGATGTACTAGAATTTGGACAAATAAAGTCATTGGTGCTTAATGGCTCTAGTCTATCCACGGGTATCTCCCAGGATTTACTCTGGATCACACCAACCTGATTGGATGGCTCGAAATGCACAGGACTGTCCACTGAAGTGCCCAGTGGACCAGTACTCTTGATTACATTTCCATCAGCTGAAATGTACTTGCTGTTTGCAGATCTAGTTGGAGACGCCGTGAAACAGGAATGTATGTTAGACACATGTGAAAGGTCTCTTTCAGGCACATTTGAAGATAGCTCGGGTTTGGGTGAAGAACAATTATCCCTAGGCACAGCTAAGCTACCTTGAATACTTTCTTCTGATGTTTGGAATTGTTTGCTATGTTCACACGTGATAGATGGCATGCTACATCTTCGAACTTCTACAGTAGGTCTTCCCTCACTTATAAGTAGTTTGACATCTTCTACAGAAGATGCTCTCAGGTGACTTGCTGGCAGTCTGTTTGCATATGGTGGTTTAATCCGCTCTGGCAATTCAGCCAGGCTGTCCAACTCCCTTTCATGAAGGGCTGGAGATTGGGCAACTGGCAAAAAAGGTGACTGTGAAAAGGACATTTGGGACTCTGACCCTTCTAACATGAAGTCAGAATCGTATTCAGCAAGAGGCCTTGGGGTTGTCATTGTAGTATGGCAGGAATCTTCTGAACTAGCAACAGAAATCATAGATACAGACCTGGAGCTGAGACCTGGCTTTTCACCTTCTGATCGAGGAGATCTGTTTAAAATACTGTCTGAAACAAAGGATGACTTGCCTAAACTCATTACATTTTTGGTGTCAACAGACTGTGATCGACCGCTGACAGCATCTTTAGCTTGTTTCTCCTTGGTATAAGTATCAGTCAATTCTGAACTCTTGGACCTAGTAAGTTCTTTATTTTTTGGTTCAGCTAGCCCATGTTTTTTTTCTTTATCTTTTACTTTAAGTTCTAAACAATTACGGTTTCTTAATCTTTCCTTTTCTTTCTGCTTAATTTTTTCCTTATGTTTTTTGTGCCACTGTTCTATTTCTAGGTCTTTAAGGCTTAGCATTCGTTCGAAACTTGTCTGCATTAAATCATCATTCACTAGCCTCTTTTCTTTAGGGCGAGTATCTTTGGATGCTGGTGATGACTTAGGTTTAGGCTTATCCACTTCAGACTTTAGCCTGAGTAAACTATTTAGTTGGATTTTATCTTTATGTTTGTCTCGTTCTTTGTATCTATCAATATCTCTATCTTTTTTATCTTTTTCTTTTCCATCTGGAGTTTTCAAAGGCTCATCTTTTGTCTTGTCTTTAAGAGAGAAAATTTTTTCATGTTGTGTTTTACTATAGCTGTCTATCATACCTGACTTTTTCTCTTCTTGTAAGTGTCTAGAGTTAGTTATACCTTCTTTATCTCTAGCCTTTTCTTTTTTATCTAACTCCCTCTCTTTTTCTTTACTTCTACCTTTTTCTGATTTAGTATATTCAGTATTATCTAACTGTTTGCTTTTTTTCTCTGTTATGTGTTTTTCTTTGCTCTCTGCCAGGTGCCGCTCTTTTTCAGGTTTTTCTTTCTCGTGTCTTCTCTCCATCTTTTCTCTGCTCCTCTCTCTGTCATCAGTTTTTCTCAGAGTATTTCTGGTCTTCTCACCTTCTTTATGGCATTTTTCTGGGTGATGTGAGTACAGTTTATCCTTTTCTTTTATTCTATCGACACATTCACTAAAATCTAGCTTGTCTTTTTCTGACCTGTGCTCATGTTTTATCTTCTTCTCTTTTTCAGAGCTTTTTCTTTCAGTCTTCTCAATGTCCTTAGTTTGAAATCGTTTCTCAGATTTTTCCTTACTTTCTTTTGTATGTTTTTCTTGTTTTTCAGTATCTATTTCCTTTTCCAATGAATGAAGTCCTACAGATTCCTCATTCACACTTATACCCAAAGAACTAAATTCTATTTCTTTATCTGTGGGTATGCTGTCTCTTTCTTCTTTCAAATCTTTTACCTTTTCTTCCTTAAAAGATTTCTCATTTTCCTTTTTAATCTTTTCTCGTTCTTCTTTAAAATTCTTCTCTTTTGAAACATGCTTTTCCTTAGTTGATTTCTCATCTTTTACGCTTTTTTCCAATTTTGACTTTTTTTCTAATGTTAGGGACTCATGTTCCATATTTAGAAGTAGATCTTCAGTTTCATCACTTTTAAAAAAATTCTCTTTCCAAAATTCTCTATCAAATTCCACACTCCTTTGCAGTTCTTTAGCACCATCCTTATTTTTGTATTTTTCCTTTTCACTGTCAATTTCCTTTCTGTGTTTTTCTTTTTCCCTCTCTTTATGTTTTAACTTATGTTTTTTTAATGTTTTACCTTCTTTATCCATTTTTTTCAATGTACAGTCTGAATTTTCAAATGTGGGGTTATGATCGTCATCCTTTATTTTGGCATTTGATTTTTCACCAAATTCTAAGTGGAAGTCTTTCTGATGTTTATTTTTTTCCTTATGCTTGTAAGATTTAACACTTGAGCTTTCAGGCAAGAATTCGGATTCTGCATTATCATACCGCACAAGATCAGGCTGTAACATTTCAGAACTTCCTGGTGATAAACATGTTTTAGTATGTTCTTGTTTTAGTGGTGCTGACTGTTTCTCACTTAATCCACAAGAATGTTTGGGAGATTTACCAGTGGAAATATGAAATAAATGTAAGGAAGAATCATCTTTTGGGCTAAAAGATTTTCTAAAATTCCCCTCCTCTCTGGTCTTTTCTGAACAATCTAGTGCAGCATTAACTGTCAAGTTTGTTACTCTGGTATTTTCTTTCCCCTCTTTTTCTTGTTTCAGCTCTTGGTTCTCTTTATTTTTGTTCTGGTTTTTTAACTTCCTTTTAACCTTGCCCTTCTGCTTGTATTCATATTCCTTTTTGGTTTGTGTATCAGAATTTGATGTTTCAGGCACACAAGATGCGGTAGAAATCTTTTTGCTCTGAAGAACTTCTTCATCAGAGCTTTCAGTACTTGAATATAGAACCCTAGATGGTTTTTGTTTTTTACTTTTAAATGATTTAGAATAGAAGGCTTTTTCTTGTTTTGTGAATAAACTACTTTTTTCTGCTTCTGAGTCATTCTCTTTTCGTTGTTCTTTTCTGAGAATATGCCTGTCATCAATCATTTTGTTTATTTCTTCTTCATCATCATCTTTGAACTCATACTCATCAAGGGCTGATGGCAGAGGTGCTTTACTGGGAACAACCTGTTTACTTTCACAGATGAGAGATTCCTTCTCTGTTTCAGAGTCAATATTTTCATCAACACTAGAAGGATTTACAGACTGAGCCTCTTCAGAATCTAGAATAAGAAAAGAAAAATCTGCCATTGGTCAAAACAGCTTATATAATAAAATAAATAGACAAAATCATTTCAGATTTACATATAAACACTGCAGCAGAAATATATAAGAACTCTGCTACAGTACTGTAGAACAGGTTTACAGAGAATCTGCTTCATGATGAGACCCTCTGATACTTCTCAAAGCACACAGAGGTTGAACTAATAATCTCTAAGAAAATATGTAGTTATAACCCAGGAGTCTGGATTTGGGAGAAATATTAGATTAAGAACCATTAATTTAAAGGGTTTAATTGAATATGATAAGGTATTTTATGTGTTTTAAAAATTTATTAGAAAAACTAAGATTCCCATTAATGACAATAATTTAAATAAATTTCTTTCCCTTTTGGTGGTGCTGGGATGGAATCCAGGGCAAGTGAATGCTAGGTAAGTGGTCTACCACTGAGCTAGATCTCCAGCCCTAGATGAATGGTTTTAGCTATACAAGAAACACGACTATTTGAAGAAAAATTAAGAGAAATATAACACCCAATCCCAAGACCATAATTGTAACAGATAATTTGAATATATTACTTTAATACCATCCTCTTTCTTTTCTTTAGTTTTGTTACTTACTAGTTTAAACTTGATACTAATAAATTCTTAGTACACTGGTGGACATAATAGGGTCAATTCCTATGTAGTATTTTTAAGTACATGAAAAAATTTATTTATTTATTTATTTATTTGGTCTTTTTAAGTCAAGGTCTTGCTATGCAGTTTATGTTGGCTTTCAGCTCACTTTGTAGCCCAGGCTGGTCTCGATCAAGGATTGATTGCAAGGATCCTCCTGCCTCAGCCTCCTGAGTGCTGGGATTACAGGTGTATACCACCACACCTGGCGAAAATTTAGTTTTATAAAGTTATATCCCATCTGTTGTAAAAATAAAGCCAAATCCTTGCCAGGTTCTATTTCATTACAGTTTTTCTTTTTAAAATTCAACAAGAATTTGTTTTCCCATGCTAGCATCTTTCTTTTAATGAATTATTTGTATACAGGGAACTTCTAACTGAAAAGAAAATTCAGGACTCTAAGGGAAAAGAGAATTCAGGACTCTAGCCAAGAGGGAAGAAAAAAAACCCCCAAATTAATTACAGTAGTAATCAATACCTCATTAGCTCAGTATTTTATCAAATGAAATTATATTTTTATCTTACTAGATTAAGCTTCCTCTCAAGCAACCTAGCTTCCAAATATTATTTTCACATTTCTCATGGAAATGCTCCAAATTCCAGAGTGTTTTTTTTGGTACCAGGAATCAAACTTAGGACCTTGCACTTGCCAGGCAGGCACTGTGCTGCTGAGCTATACCCCCACCCCTTCCAGAAGCATTTTTAAGTGCTCACAAGGTACTTGGCACTGTACTTGGATCTCTGAGAGATCATAACCTTTTTCTTTTTTGAGATGTGGTACCAACACAGTATCATTATGAAGTGCTAGGTGTCAGTGAAAAGGGAAGTGACTAAGATACTCTCCTCGAAATAGCTCCCAAATAATGTCCAGAGAGTTTTTGACACATGGCATTATTTTTCAAGTGATATGGCATATATTCATATATATGGCATACAGAAATAGAAAGCTTAGAATTCCAATTGTTTGCACACATATTTATATGTATATATTTATGTTAAAGTGCTATCTGGAGTTATTAATGTTGCAATGTACAGAATCAAACTATAGACTTTTATGTCACCAAGAAGAATACCTAATTTGGGATCAGTATTTTGGCCCTTTACTAAATGAATCAAGGAATATCTACAACAGGTTACTATTTCCTCTAAACTATTTATAATTAATTTGGTCCTGTGCATTTTTACTCCTTTGCAGTTTTCAATGATTTCATTTTCATGGTTCTTGTTTTCATTGAGAGTATCAGTTTTACCGGAAACTGGGAAGAATGTTTCCTTTGTATGCCCCATAAAACTCCAGGAGAATGTTCTATACTTAGAATCTATCATGAATAACATTTAGTAAGCTCTGCTAGGCCCAGTGTGCTAGGAGGCAAGATGAAAAGAACAACTACACTCCTAGTTATACCACACAGTTGCTAAAATGGTAGAAAATACAATATCCACAGGGTATACTGAAGGAGTCTGCCTTGGGGACTAGAAGATTAAGGAGGGTTTCCTCAGAGAAGTAGCGCAAAATGAGGTATGAAGAATGTGTAATGACGGAGGACAGGATTTAAGGGCATGAAAATATTATGTAAATAAGCAGCTCAAGTCACAGTATACCACTTCATAAACTGCTTTTACTCGTTTAGTGTACGAGTATACCCTGACATATTTTCATTTCTGTTAACAGCTGCACATAACTTTAAAAGGACAAGTACCATTTTGGTTGCTTGCAGTTACCTGATATTATATATATTTAATAATGGAGAAAATTTTAGCATTTAAGTATTACTTAGAAATAGTGTATCAGTTTGTGTGTGTGTAAAAAAAAGAAACAAGGGAACTATGCTAAAATAGTATCTGTCAGAAACTCTGGTTGAAGGAATTATAGACAATTTTTATTTACTTCTTTAGGCATTTCTACATTTTCCAAATTCCAAGTTACTCAAATTTAAAATCCAAGAGCCATTTCCAAATGTATCATTAGAAGAATAATTGTTGTTTTTTAATAGACACATCAGAGAAAAATATTTTCTAGAAAGTTCCCTAATAGCTATAAAATGATACTAATATTTTAGCTTGATGTTTTTGAATTACTGGTAGCTCAGTTTTCCATGTATTTGTAACGTAATTTCTTTCTATGTAATTTGCTCAAGCCCTTTTAGGCCTATGAGTATGAATACATTAGTTCAATTATACAACAGATACATTCACAGGTATATTTCACTTAACACAGGGCTCCTTACAATTTTTCAATATATGGACTAAAAGTAAAGTGCAAATTCTTTTAAGAGAGTTACACATGTACCCATACACTAAAGAGATGCATGAGTTGTCCTTTTGTGTTCCCAACTCACCTGCTCTTCAATTCAAGTATGACTCCCCCCCCCATGGTTCTTTTAAAATGATCTGTACATTTTTAAAGGGAAAGACTGTAAGTTGTAATTCAATTAGCTGGACACTGAAGTCCATGATGAAAGTCTAGGGTTTGCTAGGTGAAGGAACACGGTCTGGAAGGTGGCTGAATAACGGGGATTTGTAGTTGACTTGCTGTTAGGAGGTGGAGTCTGGCTGGAAGAGGCGGGTCACTGAGGCTGTGGTCTGGGAGGGGCATCTCTCTCCCTGCTTCTGCCTTGACACTCTCTGCTTCCTGTCAGTCATACGTGAGCAGCTTTTCCTCCACCAGGCCTTTCCACCAGGCCTTCCTGCCTTGGAGCCAGCTGAGTACGGACTGAAAGCTCTATACTATGTTAGCAAAAATAAGCCTCTCCTTCTTTAAGTTGTAGGTGTCAGTGAAAAGGAAAGTGACTAAGATACTCTCCTCGAAATATCTCCCAAGTAATGTCCAGAGAGTTCTTGACACATGGCATTATTTTTCAAGTGATATTTGGCAAAGTAATTAAAAATCACATGTATAATGAGAAAGTCAACAAATAATGAGCTTCTGATACAATATGCATTATGCAGCACACGTTTTTAGGACACAGTTATTCTATTAGCCTTGCAAAACTGACTGTACCACTTATAGTCAAGTCCAAGTCTTTACCTCCCACCTTTCCTCCGAAATTCACCTGGCCAACTCTGCACTCCTCTCAACCATATCAAAAACCAAGATCAAAACATTCAACTTCATTTCCCTTCCACAACTTCTTGCTGCTGTAAGCCAGGAGTACCTTTGAGGCATAACCATCAAGCTAGTCAAATTTAAAGTCCAGAACCACGTCAGCGCTCCCAGTTCCTCAGCTGCCATGCTCTACTGCTCAGATTCCGATCTCTGCACTTCCCGACGCCCACTGTTCTCACTATCCCCACCGCCACCTTCTCAGAGCAGGCTCCTATCAGCTCTTGCCTACATCAGTAAGGCCTTAAACCAAAAGGAGGCCAGGGCTAGAGACCACATTGTATCTCTTTTCACCCAAGGGCTCCTGCTGACCCTAGCAGAAAATATAAACTACAAAAACGGTACAGAATCTTCTGAAGTTGGAGCCACCATAGCTAGCTCCACTTACCCAATCTTAGCATTTGCTAATATTTGATCCTTATTATCCTCATTTAAGAGACAAGCAATGGAACAATTAAGCAAAAATGATAGTACTAAACAAGGTGTATTATACAAAAAAAGACACTGACGCTCCATAAACAATATGTAAAGAACTGTACCACCCCCCCAAAAAAGGTTGTAAGTCTGACTGGTAGATAATAAGTTTGAACGGCACGCCTCAGTCCTAACTCTGAACAGTTGTTAAGTAGGTAGATCCTTAAGTGAGGAATATCTGTATGTACTGTATATAAAAGTATATAAAAGTTTTATAGCCGGATGTAGTAGCATACACATGTAATCCCAGCACTTGGGAGGCTGAGGCAGGAGGACTGTTGTGAGTTCAAGGCCAGCCTGGGCTACAAAGTGAGCTCAAGGCCAGCCTGAACTGCATAGTGAGACCCTGTCTCAAAAAGACAAAAAAAAAAATATATATATATATATACACATATATATATTTTGGTCTTTTGTGTATATATATGTGTGTGTATATATATATACACACATAAAATTTTCGGAGTACAAAAATCAGATAATATGTAAGTATATTTGAGAATGTTCATTATAAAACATATTCTTTCACTAAGGATTTTAAGTTAGTAATAGTATACTGTATGGCAAAAAAAAAAATCCAATAAATACCATCAATTTCATTTTCAGCATATGAAAGTATTACATATGAAAATGATGAGTTTAGCCATGGCACATTTCATACTAGGCACAACTAAATCAAGGAAGAAACACAGGACTCATGTTTTAACTACACTGACACCAGCTCTGACAGGGAACCTCCCACACACATAAT